TGGGGAGGAGGTGTGCTGGCACTTTGAGGGTGTTACAATATGCTGCTTTTAAAAGAAGTATAGTTGCTACTCGATGCATCTCTAGACATAGGGAGGGGTTGCTCTGAATAATCAGTCAGGTGATCATCTTCTATAGCTTCAACTTTTACGCAAACACTTTGTTAAATTCTGCAAGGGTGATCTGCATCTTCATAGAAAGATGTTAATGTTAAAAACCTATTTTATGTAATAACTGACAGAGGAATTTGTATAATTGCAAGCTGACTTTAAGATAAAGTACTACAGCAATTTACTAAAGTTCAAAATTATATAGATGTGTTAATAGATATATGTGCAACTAGATATGGACAACTGTATTTTTTTAAATAAATATTTTTAACAAAACGACTTTCTGACTTGATTATTCATTTCCCTGTAATCGTTGCCACTAAAGTAGTGTCTCGGTATCATTATTTGTATCTGTACTTAATGTGGGTAAGGAGAGAGTTCAGTTTTCCCGATGGTTTTCATTAAAGCCTGGCCTTCAACTATTTGATGTATACCTGCATTAGAATATTTAAGGCCTGGGTTGGGGCAGGTAGCGAAAGGGGAAGATTATGAAACGACTGTTGATATAAAAAAGAATCAGGAGACCTGACTAGCTAAAAAAAAAAAAAAAGTATCCACCGTGTGAAATCTTTATCTTACTCTGCATTTTTGAAGTCTTTAAAAATTTTATCAGATTCTTATACTCTAGTCTTTGTAAGACACAAATTAGCTTACTTCGGCTCTCTTCTATTGTTTTTGAGATTAGAAATTGGAGACTTCATTCAGCAAAAGAAATTAGGCCTTTTCAGAACTGGGTGGATCAAATACATGGGGGTAAGTGGAGTTAACGGGTGGTAAAGCCCCAGCAAAGCCTGCTTGGTGTCTCTAGCTACAAATAACAAGATAGCGTGCCCTCCAAAGCTTCTGGGGCGCAGCTCTCTAGCCGGGGCGAGATGGCCCTTTACTGGTCAGTAACGTTCAGCACAGCTGGGTGGAAAATGCTTGTGATGATTCTGGTGTCCAAAATCAGAGTTCACAAAACATGTTACCTACAGCAGGAGCCTGTGAGCTCCTGTTAAGTGGGAAATGGTATCATCTCTTGGAGATTCAAGGTACATTCTTAAAATATTAAAAGCTCTATGGGGCCTCCCTGGTGGCGTGAGGGCGCTGCTTTTTTGGGGTGCCCTTCACATCCTCCCGGGAAGCCCTGCTCCTGAACTTCCTGATGCTTTTCTGGTTTGGTTTCCTTACTCACCTGCTCTGCCAGAGCCTATTCTTTTTTAAAGATTTATTTATTTGTGCATGCAGAACTGGGGTATAGGCCAGAGGTGCAGGGGTGGTGAGAGGATTCGCCAGAGACAGAACAGGCAGATTCATGAAGTTCATTGCTGAGGTGAGAGGCAGGCAAGACAGGAGAGGTCTGCTGTGCCAGGTGGGTCGCCTCCTTGGCCGGGGATCGAACTTGTGCTGCAGTGGCTGTGGCTACTGTCATAATGCTGTGCTTTACCTGGATGCACTACCAGGGAGGGTCTGCAAGCTCTTGATTGATGAACCCAGCAGGCTGGACACAATCTTCTCATCTCTAAATTCACTGCTTCTGTGGTCTTATTCAGTGGCTTGAAACATTGTATGTGACCTTGAACTGTATCTTCAGACCTGAATTTTTCTTCTAAGTTCAGGACTTACTTCTAGTGGTCTTCTTAACATGCACAACAGCATCATGAATGAACCTGTCTGATTCAAGCACCTCAGTGTCTTCCAGTGTTAAATATCTTTTTCCTATACCCAGTTACACAAGTTAGATGCATTGGGATCACCCTTGATTCCTCTATTTCTGCATGCTCTGTCCCCAGTCTATCAGCAAATCCTGTCAATCCATCTTTCAAAATACAACTTTAGGGCCTCCCTTGTGATCTAGGGATTATCTCAGCATTATCACTACTAAGGCCTGAGTTCAAACTGCGGCCAGGAAGCTGACCCACGTGGTGCAGCAGACCTCTCCTGTCCCCCTGTTGCTCCCCTCAGCATTGTATTTCAATACATCTGCCTGTTCTGCTCCACACTCTGTGGTGAATCCTGTCATCCACTACACCTCTGACCTGTATCCCAGTCCTATGCATAAATAAACCAATCTTTTTATTTACTTTTTTTTTAAAAAAACCTTTAATCCAGGCCCTCTCCGGTGGTGCAACAGGTTAAAGCACCTCAGTATAAGGCTCTCCGAAGATACTGCAGCACGAGTTCGAGCCTCAGCCAGGGAGATGACCCACATGGCGCAGCAGACCTCTCCTGACCTGCCCGCTGCTCCTCTCAGCAGTGTATTTCAGTAGATCTGCCTGTTCTGCTCCCCACTCTGTCTCTGGTGAATCCTCTCACCCACCATACCTCTGGCATGTGCCCCAGGTCTATAAACAACCTTTAATCCAATCTTTTTCACAACCACTGCTGCCAACATTGCAGTCTCTCGCCTAGTATACTGCATCTGCATTCTGGTGTTCCCAGCTTCGTTTGCTCCAGTCTCTTCCCACAACCAGAGCAACACTTTCAAACATGTCACTCAGGTATCATTTCCCGGTTCCCAATGCCATATCACTAAAAACAAAAAACAAAAAAAATTGCCCCGCCCCCCACAGTTTATGCCATGTGGCCCCCGGCTACTCCAGCCTGTTGGCTGCCGTCTGCCTGCCCCACTGCTCCTGCACGGCTCTGCCCTCAGCTGCAGGTGTGTCTGGGCTCAGGCGCTGCACCCAGTGAGCCTCCTGCCTGATCAGCTGTCCCAGGCCTTTGCTCCTGAAGATCATTTCGGTTTCTGCACCAATGGTACCTCCCCAGCAAGATGTCAGCATAGCTTGACAGTTCCGTTTCCTCCATCATTTCTTGATGACACCTAATTATCTATCAGCCTGTGACACTTATCTGTCTGCTGTCTATACTGTCCGTTTCAGGAAACTGTCTCCTCCCCTGCATCCTGCACCTAGATGGGTGTCTTGACTGTAACAGGTGTTTGATGTCACTTTTGAATTATTAATGAATTCTCGGTAAAAGGCCCTATGTCACTGTGATCCTTCCTGTACGCCGGGCGTTAGGAAGCAGCAGAGGGAGACCTGGGGCCAGGGCTGACTACAGCGCTCTGAAATGTCAGAGCTTTTAAAGAAAAAGACTGGGGGGAAGCCTACTTCTGCCAAAGGATTTTTTTTTTTAATTTTAATATCTGCCAAAGGATTTTAACATGTGGTATGAAATCCCATCTACCCTGAGTACATGTACGAGGGAATAGACTTCTCAGACCTGTCAATGAGATTTCATCTCTTCTGGAGTATCAGCCATGTGAACCTTTATTATGGAGGAGGCCTGTCTTTGGGGGAGCAGTGGGTCATTTATTTATAAGGCTGTATGAAAGGATCAAATGTCCTCCATAATAGATAACACACTTGTTAAATTTTACATTTTTATTTAGGAAAGGTACTCTCAGATATCTTGTTTTCTGTATTCACATATTTATCATGATCTGTTTAGGTACAGCCAATGCTTCTTTCTAAGTCTGTTTAAGAGGGGTTTTCTTGAAAAAGTGCAAGAAAAATACAGCTGCTTTCTTTTAGTATAGGCTCATCCCTCACTACAGTCAGATGGCACGTTGAACAGAGTTGAAACTATCCCTCAGCTTCTCAAGCTTGCAGAAGAATTGTTTGACTTACAGTAAATATGTACCAAACAACTGAAGAGTTTCTAAGCTGCTTATCAGGAAGTTTTGAAAGTACAAATTGAAACATGTATTAGGAGACTCATCTGAGCCATATTGTAATCACTTTAGTCACATTCACGTCACTCTTTCAGAGTTCCTTTGAGGTGGGGTAAAGTTCTCACTTTACGTGGGGGCCCTCCCTGGTGGTGCGATAGTTAAAAGTGCAGCACTACGAAGCTAGCGTGGCCACTTCAGCTTGAGTTCGATCCCTGGCCCTGGAGCTGACCCACATGGCACGGCAGACCTCTCCTGACCTGGCAGACCTCTCCTGCTCCCCTCAGCAGTGGACTTTATCTATCTGCTTGTTCTGCTCCCCACTCTGTCTCAGGTGAACCCTCTCACCACCCCTGAACCTCTGGCCTGTACCCAAGTTTTATATGCATAACTAAATTTTTTTTTTAATGTCACTTTACAGATAAAAAATGTGAGGCTGCAAGTCCTCAGTGACTTACCCAGGGCCACGCAGCAAAGAGGTGAGGCCTGGCCTGAGCCGGCCAGCTGGCTCTCACCACCTTGCTGGCAGGGGGCTGGTTGTGTGAACGCAGACGCCCCCAGCTCCTGGCTGAGCCTGCTCATGTCAGGCTCCGACCGTACCACCTGCCCAGCTCCCTGAGATCCACGACTCACTTTTTTTTTTTTTAAAGATGTATTTATTTATTCATATAGAACTGGGGTACAGGCCAGAGATGCAGAGGGTGAGAGGATTCACCAGAAACAACGGGGAGCAGAACAGGCAGATCTACGAAGTACACTGCTGAGGGAAGCAGCGGGCGGGCCAGGAGAGGTCTGGCCCATGACCCACTTTTTATGGCTCCAAGTGCCTCTGTATCTACAGCAGCTCTGTGATGGCCGCTTCTCTGCTTACAGACCTCAGTGCCCGCTCCAGGCTTGTATTCTCGCTGTTATTACAGCAGCGGGGTGGCTGCTTCTGCTCCATAGACGGTGCACAGCTGGAACTTTTCAGCAGCCCCAGCTTTTGGAAAAAGGCCTTGACATGTACCGTTATTTTCTCTGTAGAAGATGTAAAATTTAGGTTCTCCCTGGTGGCCTAGGGGTTAAGTCTCAGCATTCTCCTTGCTATGGCCTGAGTTCCTGATTTCGATCCCCGCCAGGGAGCTGACCCACGTGGTGCAGCAGGCCTCTCCTGACCCACCCACTGCTCCCCTCAGCGGTATACTTCGTTGATCTGCCTGTTCTGCTCCCCATTCTGTCTCTGGTGAAGCCTCTCACCTCCAACACTGCTGGCCTGCAGCCCAGTTCTTATATGCACACATAAATAAAAATAAATCTGTAAAGAGTATGAAAAGCTTAAATGAGCTACTTTTGAGAAATTCTTAGCGCCATTTCTATGACCTTATCTAAGCTAGTTAACATCAGTACAGAAAAGTCAAACATCCATCTGGTTCTCCCCAATAGCTTCTGAGCCAATGAGCATTCATCACTCGCCAAGGTTTGTTGATAAACACCCCACAACTGGCTGGAGGGCGGGGGGAAGGTCATGGGGCACAGCTCTGTCACTTTCTGTGCTGTATATACCCCAGTCTGGCTGACCTTGGGTTCCCACAGCTCACTGAGAATGGGGTGGAGAAGAGAGGCACAAAAACACGCCTTCCTGTACTACCCAGGCAGACAGAATAGAGTGAGTCCCCTCAAAAGCAGAGACCTAAAACGATTGGGAAGGGATGCATTTTGAAGATTTATTAGCTTTGCTTGACTGTAACTTAATTCTGTTTCTGTAATTTAAATTTTAATAATGGCTGCACTTCACAACCCATCTCAAAGTAAAAACTGAAGAATCAGCTTTTATAAGCTGGTAAGGGCTAGCCCAGTAGGCCACTGAATTAGTGCACCCAGAGAACACGATGAGCAGTTCCTTTTGATGTTTCACAGAGGAACGAATATCAGCCGTACAAACTGAGAGACTTTGGATTATTAATAGGTAAAAAGTACATAAGTCCTTTTAACATGCCAGGGAATAGTCTGGGGTTTGTTTTTATTCATTTAAAATATATCTCTGTGTAGTGAATCATCCTCAAGCTTTACAACGTCAACCCATTTTTTTCAAACTTCAGCTAAGAGTGATCTCCAAACTCAGGCTTTGCTCTTCGCAAAAGCCTAAACCACGGAAGACTGGAGGTAACTTGAATAGCCAGGGAGACTGCTACCGATTTGCCTGGGGCGGACCCAGTACCAGAAATCAGTTTAATGTCTTCTACCCAACCAGCTATGAGTGGAGACGATCCAAAACAAGGCACTAAGAGGCCACGTGTATTCCTGTCCCGGCTTTCTTAAACACTGCTCTGTGTTGCTGCTCCAGAGGGTGGAAGTCTTCACTTGCCTCCTTCCCCTGCTTTTACCTCTGGTAGCACTCTGAGTTTTCCAGGCCACCTGGCTTGTCTTGGGCAGGAACTACAAAAGGAAAAACAGTAGCATGTTTCAGCAGCTCGGGGTGGTTCCCATCATTACTCACTCACTCACGCCGAGTACTTCCCGGGCCTCCTGTCTGCTCATTAGGGAACAAAGACAAGTCAGAGCTCTCAGTTCTGGCAGACGTGGTGCAGGGTGTCTGTCGAGACTCGCGCCCCGGGCTTGGGGATCAGAGATGTGGGGCCTAAATGGAGGCTCTGTTCTATGTGCTGGGACCAAGCACACTGGACCTGCTGCCTCGGAAGCGGGGTGCTAACTGGTGCTCTCTGGGGACTCTGTTATTCTTCGGGCCTTTATTTTTATTACATTTTTAAAAGATGTATTTATTTATGTATACAAGAACTGGGGTGTAGGCCAGAAATTTGGGGTGGGGGATTGAGAGGATTCACCAGAGAGAATAGGGAGCAGAACAGGTGGATCTACTGAACTCCACTGCTGCGGGGAGCAGCGGGCAAGACAGGAGAAGTCTGCTGTGTCCTGTGGGTCACCTCCCTGGCCGGGGGTTGAGGATTGGACTTGTGTTGCAGTAGCCAGTGACAGCTTGATAGCACTGTTCTTTAACCCCTGCGCCACCAGGGAGGCCCCTGTTCTTTGGGCCTTTAAACTGAGTGTTTATTGGGGGCGCATGTCTACTGAGGAGAGATAAAGGACCGTGGGTCTGTCTGCTGCAGTCCTCATGTGATTATTTTGCTTTTCATGGAGATGTCACTGTCTCTTTGGAGCTGTCCATGCACACAGCTGAGCTAACTGCTGGGCACTCAGAAAGCCCTGGAAGGAAGGGCAGATGAGGGTTGTGGGAACAGCTTTGGGACTCCCCCTGCCCCCAAGGAGCTTTTCTTTGCCACTTGGCCTGGGGGACTTTTTGAAAAGGAAATTAGGTTTCAAATCAAAATCCTAAACTGTGTAGAGACGGCTGGTTAGGCCGCTGGGCTGAGTTCCAGCCAAGGAGGCGGCCTCTGCCTTCAGTGCCCTCAGCAGGCTGGAGAGATTCTTGGCTCACAGCACCCAGCATGGTGGGATGCAGGAAGCCGAGTTCACAGCCTGTGCCCCTCTCCTGGTGGAGAAGCCATGAGTCAGCTTATCCCTCTCGCCCCAAGAGCCCAGCACAGACAATCGCATGGCCACCAGGAAGAGGGGAAAGGAAGCTGTAGAAAAATAAACATTTCCTTGCATTTTACTTGGAACAGAATAGCGTCCATGGCGTAGTAAGATCTATAGTGTCTGCCCTCCCCAACCCCCCCAAACACACACACTTATTTTCTTCCTCTTGTGTAGAAACAGATATTTTTCCTTACCTGACGAGAGTCCAGGGTGCATCCTGTGGAAAAACAGGAGCAAGATGTAGAAGGTAAAAGCCAAGCAACCAAAGATCACACCACACACCAGGAAACTATAGCCGCCCCGGGCCTGGAATATCTGCCAGAGGGGAAAACAGACACAGGCTGTCAGAGCCTCAGGGGAGGAGGCACAGGAGGAAGCAACCTTCTAGGCCCCAGCAGGATTTTTGGTCAGGTCCAGACCCATCCAGCGGAGAAGCAACGGTGGGAGGGAGTCTGGGCCTCGCTTCCAGGCTGTTTTTGGACGAGGCAGAAACCTGGCTCGGAGGCAGGACCTGAGCTGATGATCCTGCCGCAGTCCTTCTGAGCCTTGTGTCTGGAACCTTCTGAACACTTGCCCTCCTACAAAGTATTTCTCTACCCGTGAGGCCTCACTGGAACTTTGCAGAGAGTTTGTTTTGGGGGGTGGTGGTAGGGAGAAACTTTCATTATGTAAAACATACGCCAAAATTACATATGGAACGGTCAACGGTGACCCCCAGAGAGCCCCACTTTCTCGGTGCCCCTCCACTCTTCCCTGTACTAGGTCACACCGAAACGCACGCAGACCTCACAGCGCTTTGATGAAGAGGGGTTCTTAAGAGGGAGCTCTTCTCCCTGTCAGGCAGGATGAAAGAAGAGGAAAGGGAAGTCAAGTAATAATTCGGGGGGCTGTAGAGAATGGAAGTTTGAGGTCTGAGCATCACTGAAGTGTGACTGCAGGCAGGTTGCCGAGCGTCTGAGTTCTGGTGTCCTCGTGAGGGTTGTGACTAGGCTATGTCACAGTCTTCAGTGAGTGGGGCAGGAATGATAGTTCGATTTTCTGATGAACAGATGACTGGGTGTGTTGGAAGAGAATGCACAGGCTTGGCCCTTGCTCAGGACAGGGGCTGGACAGGAAAGCTGGGCCCTGGGCCGGGTGGCCGAGGGTGGGGCGACGATGGTAGCCTGGGATGGGATGAAAAAGGAACTCTGCAGCTTCAAGCCCATCCCGGGCTCGGGACCTGAACAACATTCCCACGGGCCCCTCTGGCCCTGCTCCCAGACAAGCTGCTGTTTGCTTTGGACTTCACTACACATCCCTCCACCTTCCAGGCCCACAGAGGAGGCTCAGCTTTTCCAGCCAGCTCAGAAACAGAAGCAGGTCACACAGACAGAGCAGGCACAGCTTGCTCTGTGGCCCCTCAGGGAAGGGACATGGGTTCAGGAGGTAGCTGGTTGCCCCTTGTCACCCACTTGGCAGGGGGCTCCTTGAGTGCTCCCTCCCAGCCTCCCCCAAAGCCCCCTGCTTACCGAGCCGACCAGCATCTGCAGGGTCATCTCCCCAATGCCTGCCCCGGTCACCAGCACAGTAGTGGCACAGCCTGACCCAAAGAGAAGCACTTGGTTTAGTGAAGGCAAGTTAGAGAGCAAGTTAGTCAGCTGGCACGGTCCGAGTGGCTTCTGGGGAGCCTCTGAAACCCCCTCTTTGAAGCCATTAGATTTCTCAGACTTGTCTTCACTTGGCACCTGCAGTGAAAGTCCCCATCATTACATTTTTCTGATTGAAACCTTCCATTGTTTAGCTGGGTCTTCCAGGTAAATTCCTAGTCGCTCGGCCTGGCACTCAGAGCCCATCCCAATGGACTCCCTCCACCTTTCCAGAAAGAGTCCCGGTCTCCTGAGGCAGCCTTCTGCTCTGGGTGGTCCCTGGCATGGCCCTGGGGCTGCACCAGCCAGCAGAGCCCTGATCTTGGGGGTCTCCCAGCGGGAGAGAGACCAAGACTCACAGCCTCCCCCCTCCAGCCAGGAGCTGGCCTCGCCAGCCTGTCACAGCACTGGCACCTATAGCTGGGGGAGCTTGGCAAGTGTTTGCAGGTGTTGGCTTCCTTCTGCAAAATGGACACCACCACACCTCCCTGCGCTCCCGGGCAGCTCAGATGCAGCACAGGTTCGGTGAGTGGCCTGCTGCTGGCTTAGGGACAGGCCAGAAACAGCCCAGTTCTCTGCTCACACCCTTCACTGCTGCGTTCCAAGTGCTTTCACGTGGTGTGGGGGCCCTTTATCATCCGCCCCCGTGGAGACCTAGCCTCCTCGCTGACTGCTGCTCCAGCCGCCCCCTCCAGCCAGGCCTGGCCGCTCCAGCCTCATACCCTAAGCACGCTCATCTTCCTCCACCCCTTTCTCTTCCTCCTGAACGTGCCTCCTCCAGGCCTTTCTGCAAACACGTTTCGGTCCCTATTTAGATTTCCTTCGGCGATCTCCTCCCCTAGTCCCCAGCCTGGGTGAGTTGTTTCTCTGTGCCCCGTCAGCCCCTGCACCCCACTCTCGCACACCCCACTGTTTACCAGGCAGCCTTGCCCATGAAGCTGCAGGCGCAGGAGAAGAGGACTGCGCCCCGAGTGCTCGTCCCTTGGCACGCCCGCGGCTCACACTGGCACAGCGGCCCGTGTGTGGTTTTTGTAATAAATAGCGAATCATCTTCTGCCCTCTGTGTTTATACCTGCCCCTGGGCCTTTGCCTGTCCCGGCCCCGCCCTTCCCCCCGAATGCCTTGCCTCGTTCCTTCTGTCTTCCACGTCCAGCTCACGTCCCACCTCCTCCATGAAGCTACATTTCAACACGGGTCACTCCCTTGCGTGAGTCCAGAGAAACCCACTGTCCACCCCCCACCCGCCTTCACTCAGATGTGTAGGCCTGAGGGTGCCCCCTCCAGGTGTCAGCCCACCACGCTGCCCAGGCCAGTGTTTTGCATTTCTCTTAACACACAAAACTGTCCTGAGAGGCAGGTAGTTGGTGTCTGCATCTCCACTGGGCACCCCAGAAAACATGGCGAGAGGAAGGGACCCGAACCGCAGGAGACCACACAGCAGAAGCGTGGAGGGGCTGCCCCGACCCATGCTCCTGCCCTTGTCACTGCTGGGGCCACACGAGGCTTGAGAGGGACGAGCCGGGGGCACCGTGGAAATTCTAGTGGTTTCCTGGAGGAGGCATTCTGGCAGGGCCTCCCCATGCGCCTGAGTAAGGAGGTGGAGGGCAGTTTTGGTGCCATCAGAGAACAAGTAACTCTGCTCTGCTCAAATTCAGGCTCCAGGGCCTCCCTGGTGCACAAGGGGTTACGTCTCAGCACGATCAAGCTGTCGGCAGCCGCTGCAGCATGAGTTTGATTCCCCCGGCCAGAGAACTGACAGAGCAGCCCTCTCCTGTCTTGCTCGCTGCTCCCCTCAGCAGTGTATTTCAGTCGAGCTGCCTCTTCTGCGCCCCACTCTGTCTCTGGTGAATCCTTTCATTCCCTACACCTCTGGCCTGCACCCCAGTTCTTGTATGCATAAATAAATCTTAAAAAAAAAATTCAGGCCCTCCCTGGTGGCGCAGCGGGTTAAAGCACAGCACTGAGAAGCTAAAGCCACTTCTGCATGAGTTCGATCCCCGTCTGCCCCGGAGGTGACCACATGGCGTGGCAGACCTCTCCTGGCCCGCCCGCTGCTCCCCTCAGCAGTGTACTTCGTCGATCTACCTACTCTGCTCCCCACTCTGTCTCTGGTGAAGCCTCTCGCCTCCCCTGAGCCTCTGGCCTGAACCCCAGTTCTGTATGTACAAATAAATAAATCTTAAAAAAAAATTCAGGCTCTAAGGGGAGGAGGGAGAGGCTGGAGAAGAGGAAGATGCAAGTGGGGTGATAGGCGTGAGATCCAGCCCCCCCAATTGCCCCCCCGCCCCCCCGGCCACAGGGATGCAAGGCCTGTGGCCCCAGCCGGGTCAGCGGCGGCCTGCAGAGCCCGGCCCAGCATTGGGCACTCAAGTGAGCATTTCTGCAGAATCTGCGTGCAAACCACAGATTGAGGCAACCCTGTAGGCCAGGAGACAAGCCCAGACCTGCAAGGCCCGACAGAGGGAAACTAGAAACTGGGAAGAGCTGGGCACCATGAAGTCTCAGCAGGCTGAGTGATGACAAAGGCCTGACTAGGAGCAGGAGCAGTGAGAGATGAGGACGATGACAGAAATGACAGACTTCAGGGACCTTTGGGGGCACAACCACTGTCACTCACTGTTTAACTTAACACGCTGTGGGACACACTTCATGGCTCCTTCGCTCGCCTGAGTTCCAGTGACTACCCTTAGATTTCGAAGGTCCAGGCTTCGGGCCTCCTGACTGGGGCGGCTGAGTTGAGTTGGCCGTAGAGAGCCACACTATTGTGACCCCCACACACAACTCCCCCCACTGCTGAAGAAACAACCCAGCTCCGGCACTGCTTTCTAACACTCTGGGGCGTCTCTCGTTATTTCTGGGGTAACTTGCGTGTTCAAAACACAATTTTTTTTTAGTGGAAAGGAACTTTAGTACAATGAGTGTGCAATACAGAAAAGACAAAGAATATAGTTTCTAAATCAAACACCCAAAGTTACTCGTCCCCTCACGGGTAAAAGTCCACCCAGAAGGGACTGGCCCAAAGCAAAATCAAAGTCAAGGTAAATACTGCCATAGTGAACCTCCCCACGGGTCTCTCGCCCACATCTGTTTCAGCCAGCCCAGGACCAGGAAGCCAGCTCAGCAAAACGCAATTATTTTTAATGAACCTATTTTAAAAAAGATCTTCGCTGTGTGCACTCGGGAGGCTGCAGAAAAGACACAGAGCTTGGCTGAGAATTAGTTTCGGCCATCAAAGAAGCCGTGTACACGCCCAAATCAGGTGCAGGGCGCCTTCGTACACTTCGTACCTGCTATGCTCCAGCCACTTCCACAACAACAGCAACAATGAAACAAAGGCACAGCACTGCTCTGTTATCAGGCCTCTGCTGTGCCGCTTCTCCAAGCAGCTCTGCTTTGCTTTGCACTTAGAATTTCTAGCACAAGCGTGACAAACAAAATGCCAGCCATGGCTGAAGACATTACTACGGGAATAAGAAAACGGGAGAGAGCAGCTCACTGCTCTCTGTGAGCTGGAAGCAAAGGCCACAGGCACAGTGTTGGGGGGCGGGGGTGCCGCAGTGGGACACCCCACTGCTCCCACCAGCCAGGAGGAGAGCACTGACTTCTGTGAGGAGGGAGGCAGCCACAGAGAGGACACACCCCGCTCCCGCCCCGTACACTCACCTTTGTACTGCAGGATGTCCTCGGTGTAGGCCAGCATGCTGGGGAAGGTGCTGCTGAGGAATAGGCCCAGGCTGGCTGTCCCCACAAACAGGAAGATGACGTTGTAGGAGAAAACCAGCAGCACTAAGAAAGTCACCACCACACCAACCTGCCGCAGCAGAGAGGAGGCAGGTAAAACTGGGAAAACAGGGCCCTCCTGGTGTGCAAGGGGCTGAAGCGCAGCACTGTGAAGCTGTCCGCAGCCACCACGGCACAGAGTTCGATCCCGGGCCAGGGAGCTTACCCATATGGAGCAGCAGACCTCTCCTGACCCGCCTGCTGCTCCCCTCAGCAGTATATTTCAGCACATCTGCCTGTTCTGCTCCCCACACTGATCTGGTGAATCCTCTCACTCCCCGCCCCCTCACATCTGGTCTGTACCCCAGTTCTTCTATGCATAAATAAATACATAAATCCTTAAAACAAGAAATTTTCCTCCCTTCTTTCTCAACAGGGCCTCTAATATTTCAGTAGATCCACCTGTTCTGCTCCCCACTGTCTCTGGTGGATCCTCTCACGCCCTCCCCAACCTCGGCCTGTATAAATAAATCTTAAAAAAAAAAAGAAAGAAAGAAAGAAAGAAAAGAAATTGGAAGACCTGACCGGGAAGGCACCTCTGGCCCCAGAAGCAGCGCTGTGACGAGGGCGCGGCCCTGTGGAGTGTGTGGAAACTGCACCACCCCAGCTGAACTCCGGCCTCAGCAGTTCCGGCAATTCCCTGCCAGGCCTCCTGGGCTGGGGCCTGGGGTTGGGGAGAATTCCCAGGCCCTGAGTCCACCAGAGAGCAGTGGCAGCGGCTGTGATAGCCCCTCCTCTGGGACCACAGGCAGACCTCCCAAGGGGGCCAGGGGGGATGGCCACCAGCTCCCCCAGGTTCAGCTCAGACTCCTGCGGCTGAAGATGCCTGCGCTGGGCTCCGGCTCACCCATCTTTCTAGTCAGTGGGGATCAGCGTCACACAGGCATGTGTTTATTAACTTTTTCTAAATTCTTTACAAATGTGTTAAGTTCGTGTTAAATAGTTCCTACGTAAAATGTGCAGGAAAGAAACCCAGGCAGCGCCAGACGTGGGGCACGAGACCCGCCGCCCTGCTCTCGGGCGTTGAAGTGGGTGATGGTGCTGGCTCTGAGCTTCCTAATTCGCAAAAAGGGGCAGCTGAAATGCTACACTGCGGGGTGATGGGGACTTGGACGCAGGGAAGGGGCTCAAGGGTCAAGTCAGACAAATGTTAGTGCTGGTAAAATTTGTGTGTGACTTTTCTTATTGTCTTGGGAGCAAAGGATCTTCTGTAGATGCCATAGCTTTGAGGGGAAAATCTGTTGGGTGGGTTTACCTCTTTCTAGAAAGAAATGAAATATAATCACAGGATGGAGTGGTGTGCAGGAAGTTACTTCTACTCCAGCCTCCACCTGACCCTTCACCGAGGAGGACGGAGCACGCAGGAGTGAAGTTACTCACACTGCAGAGGGCCTGGACACTTGCTGCCATGGGAAAAATAAAGCCAGGGATCGCCATCCATTAGCCCCTCCCCCCAAAGGCAGCTGCAGGCCCGCGACTCTGTGCCAGGGAGGACACTTGGCCTCTCTACAGTGGGGACAACACGGAGGTCTCTCCCGGTGACCATGCAGTGGACATGTCATGGTTTGCACGGGATGCATTTCTTAGGTGTGGAAAGTGGTCCTGTAGGGTTAGAGCAGGCTCTCCCTCATCTGTATCAAGGATGGAGTAAAGTCTAGCTGGTCTGGGAGGCCTGGGAAGAGTCTTTTAACTACAGTTTCCCCCAGGCTGGAAAAGAATGAGGCAGGGGTAGATGCAATCAGTCCGGAATCTGGAGGAGTGATGGAGTGATGGACTTAATTAAAAGGACCCCTCTCTGCTGTGAAAGGAAAAAAAACTGTTCGGGGGACCCCCTGGCTGACACAGCCGGCTACCCTACGGCATGCAGCCTGGTAGCTGCCCAGGGAACTTCCTTGCGGGTCATGTTAGGGCTTCATTCTGGGGCTTCCAGAACTTCTCTTGAGGGCCCTCCCTGGTGACAAAATGGGTTAGGCACAGCACTGTGAAGCAATCCCCAGCTTCTGCAGCATGGGTTCAATCCCCGGCCAGGGAGGACCTCCTAAGCAGCATATTTCAGTAGATCTGCCTGTTCTGCTCCCCCTCTCTCTGGTGAATCCTCTCACCCCCCACATCTCTGGCCTGTACCCTAGTTCTTGTATGCATAAATAAATAAATCTTTTTTTGTTATTTAAAGATTTATTTATTGATTCATACAGAACTGGGGTACAGGCCAGAGATGCGAAGGGTGAGAGGATTCACCAGGGACAGAGTGGGGAGCTGAACAGGCCGACTGACAAAGGACACTGCTGGGCGGGTCAGGAGAGGTCTGCCTCGCCATGTGGTCACCTCCGGGGCAGACGGGAATCGAACCCATGCTGAAGTGGCTTTAGCTTCTTAGTGCAGTGCTTTAACCTGCTGCGCCACCAGGGAGGGCCCAAATAAATCTTTTTTTAAAAGAAGAACTTCTCTTGAGAGACAGACACCAAGGACGCCGGTGTCCTCAGCAGTTACAGCTCCACTTGCTCCCTCTGGTCCCCTGCCCGTCATCTATCTGTGGGCTGGGCAGGGGCTGGGTCCTGCCTCTTTCTCTGCACCCTTTCTCTTTAGCCTCATGGTTTACACTCTCTGTGCCAGACTCTCAAGCCCACCCACAGCCACGACCTGTGTTCAGACGCCTACGTTTAGTGACTCATGATGTGGCCCGAACAGAACTTTCTCTCTTGTCCTCCACTGACTCTTGCAGTTGCCAGACTCCCCGTGCAGCCAGGGGTTCACCCCTCTCCCTGAAAGCCCTTGGTTCCCCCTTTCCTCACCTACTTCAATCAGAGGGCATGTCCTGTCCACTCTACCCCGAACCTGCCGGCATCTGCACCACGCCGTGCTGACCGCTCTCAGGTGAGGCCTGGGCGGCCCTCTCTGCCCCCCTTCTTGACCCCACCCTCCCTTCTTCACACGCTGGCCATGTGCTTCTGAAAGGCAAAGCCGACTGCATCCTGTGCCCTGCTTAGAACCAAAAGGCGTCCCACCCGCCTCAAAGACAAGCACAACCTAGGCCTCTCAGACCAAAACACAAAACCTGCAGCATCGAGTCAGGTCTGTTCCCCCCACCTCTTCCCCACCCCACACTGCACCTGCCCTGGGCCTCTCTGCCAGCAGAGCTGAGCACGCCTGCGGCGACAGGGTGCTCAGCTCTGCAGCCTGGACACCAGGACTTTGAAGATGTGGCTCCTGTCCCCGCCTCCCCCACCAGACCACATGTATTTCCAGGCAAAGACCTCAAAGAGGCCCTTTAATCTAGACTTGCAGAAGTTTTTTTCTTCAAAGATTCACTTATTTATGGGGTACAGGCCAGAGGTGCGGGAAAGTAAAGGATTCACCAGGGACAGAGTGCGGGGCAGAACAGGCAGACGGATGGAGTACACTGCTGAGGGGAGCAGCAGGCTCACAGTGCTGCGTCCTAACCTGTCGCGTCACCAGAGAGGGCCCTGCAGAAGTTTTAAAAATGCCTGGTGGAGGCCCTCCCTGGTGGCGCAGTGGGTTAAAGCACAGCACTGAGAAGCTAAAGCCACTTCCGCATGAGTTCGATTCCCGCCTGCCCCGGAGGTGACCACATGGCGCAGCAGACCTCTCCTGGCCCGCCCGCTGCTCCCCTCAGCAGTGTACTTCGCCCATCTGCCTGTTCTGCTCCCCACTCTGTCTCTGTGTGAATCCTCTCACCCTCCAGCACCTCTGGCCTGCACCCCAGATCTATATGCATAAATAAATAAATATTTTTTTTAAATGGAAAAATTTTAAAAATGTCCAGGGCTCTTGTTTTAGCCTTGGTAAGAGGAAAAGTCTGAGGATGCTGAGAATTAGGCTCTGCTCCCACCTCCCTCTGCACCAGGCCGCCATCCCTCTCCCCTGCGCCGGGGGAGCTGGGCCCCACACTGGCCAGAGGCCCTGCACAAAGCGCATCCTCACTAGCCAGGAAGTGCTGGTGGACGCAGGCGTGCGTGGTGAGCAGGGACGGCTGATTTAAGAGGACCAACACCCCTGGAAGAGGTCCTGCCTTAAACTCAGACAGTCACTTGGCAATCACAGAGTCAGGGAGCTTGTGCCGGGCAGTTCCGCAGCAGACCCCGCAGGGCGCCCACCCAGAGACCCCCAACATCTCTGAAAGACATCAGGCTCCTCTACAAGCTCCTGAGGCGGTCTCTGTGGAAAGGGCCAGGAATCGGAGTTTTCAAAAGCCCCTCCATGTGAGAACCACTGGCTCTAGGACAACTTGTTGCCCCCAAGTTGCTTGATCCCCCAGGGTGTCAGGGAGGCCAGAGGCCCAGGAGCCTCTCCACTGGGGACACGGAGTCACAAGCCTGGGTTGGGCCTGAGAATCTGACCTCCCCCACTCCACACTAATGGGGAGTCTTATGGCCAGTCTCTCACTCACGCAGGTGTCTGGGACTTTCTTCTCTCAGACCCGGGGCCCACCCGTTCCTCTCTCTAGCAGCTGACCACATGTCCTGCAGGGCCTGGTGACCAGCACTGCCCGTGCTCCTACTGTCACTGGGCTGTGGGTCTTTTTCTGCTCTGTACCAGTCACCCCCGCTCCAGATCTGGGTCCTAGGACCCCCCTACCAAGCTCCCCCATCCTCTCTGACTGTGTTATTTCCACAGACTCCCCTCCTCATAGGCCTCATCCTTTCTGCCTTTCCTCTGCCTACAAACTCCTATCAAATAAACTCCTCCCTTCAGCTCAGAAATATTCGCAACTCACGCCTCCACTTCCCATCTGCTTCTTATCCTCAACGCTGCCTCTACCAAAACTACCTCCCCGCTCACTAAGCAGAAATATCTTTCTGGGAGGTCAGATCCAAGGGCATCTCCAAGGCCATAGGGCTCTGACCAGCTCTGACCACGGTGAACAGGGAAGGACCAAGCAGCTGCTTGGTCACACCATGCTTCCTCACACCATGGCAGGCCTTCACCTGGCGGCTGCTCTCTGCCACCCCAACACTAGTCACCTCCTACAGTCCCTCCTTTTACGGACACAAGACCAGGTGCCCAGAGAGGGAAGGGACTTTTCCAGGGCCACACTAGTGGGCCTAGCTCCACGATTCCAGCCCACCCCACCAGCCTGTCTGCCCTCTCCTTAAACATTCTCACCTTGCTGGCAGGGCCCACTGCCAAGCAAATGTCCTGGAGCTTTGGTAAGACCAGAAGGAGACCCTCCTGGGTCTCCACAATGAAAAAGGAGGCCACTTACCACATTCACGAAAACCATGGTGGCTGGCTTCACTCTGGAGGAGATGGGGATGGAGACCAGCCGGCCCAGGGTAATGAAGCCCCAGAAGAGGCTGGGGAGGTAACCAGCCACTTTGTGTCCCACGGAGAGTGGCTTCTCCACAGCATAGCTGTACACAAAGGCGGAGTAGGCCCCCTGTGGACAGACAGGTCCTGCTGAGTACAGCCCTAGGCAGCCAGAGGAACATGACCAAGGAGGGAAGGCCAGGCAGCGTGCAAGGCAGAGGGCACCCTGGCCCTGCCCCCAGAAGCTCCAGAAGAGCAGACTGGAGCCAGACCTCCCATGGGCAGACCGGTGCTGAATGCAGACTCTGGGGTGCAGCTCACAGATAGCAACGAGCCACAGGGGCCCAGGGAGGCGTCTGCACAGGGGGTGCTGCTGCCCCCTGCATATCCGTGAGAGGAGTTAGAAAAAGGTGTGCACGGCCCTCCCTGGTGGCGCAGAGGGTTAAAGCACAGCACTGAGAATCTAAAGCCGCTTCCGCATGAGTTCGATTCCCGCCTGCCCCAGAGGTGACCACATGGCATGGCAGACCTCTCCTGACCCGCCCGCTGCTCCCCTCAGCAGTGTACTTTGTTGATCTGCCTGTTCTGTTCCCCACTCTGTCTCTGGTGAAGCCTCTCGCCGCCCCTGAGCCTCTGTCCTGTACCCCAGTTCTGTATGCACAAATAAATAAATCTTAAAAAAAAAAAAAGAAAAGAAAAAAAATAAAAAGGTGTGCACAAGCATCTCATTTTACAGATGAGGGGACAGAGGACCGACCTGCCCAAGGTCACGAGTGCTTTCCAATGGGTCATCCAGGTTTTAAGGCCTCGCTGGCGGGTCCCTCACTTAATCAATCAGCTATTCAAACTTGTCCTCTTCTAATCCCAGGTTATTTCTGGAAGCAGGCACTAAGCAGTGTGACAGAAGTCCCTGGCTAAGAGACAGCTGGGCAAAAATGCTGCCTGTTTACCGCGTGCTTGAAAAACCAGGCGTGGAAAGTAGTCCAGGAAGCAGGGCGCCCCCAGTTCACATGGCACAGCCTCTGCGGGAACAGGGCACTGCAGCTTTAAAAAATTGTGGGTGGGGCCCTCCCTGGTGGCGAATGGGTAAAGCACAGCACTAAGAAGCTTATGACACTTCAGCATGAGTTCGATCCCAGCCAGCCCACTCGGAGGTGACCCACATGGCGCGGCAGACCTCTCCTGGCCCGCCCGCTGCTCCCCTCAACTGTGTACTTTGTCAGTCGACCTATTCTGCTCCCCACTCTGTCTCTGGTGAATCCTCTCACTGCCTCTGCACCTCTGGCCTGTACCTCAGTTCTGTATGCATAAGGAAGTAAATCTTTAAAAAAAGAAATTGTGGGTGGCTTGCACTTTTAACAAGTCAAATAAGCCCCTATCCACAGAGTTAACAAAAACAAAAAGAATTAAGGTGTCCCTGGTCGCACGAGGGATTAAGTCTCAGCACTATGAAGCTTTCGCCAGCCACTGCAGCAGCAGTTCGATCCCCGGCCAGGGAGCTGACTCACATGGCGCAACAGACTTCTCCTGCCTCCCCACTGTTCCCCTCAGCAGTGTATGTCATAGGTCTGCCTGTTCTGCTCCCCGCTCAGTCTCTGGTGAATCCTCTCACCCCTGCACCTCAGGCCTACACCCCAGCTCTTGTATGCATAAATAAATAAAATAAATCTTTAAAAAAGAAGAAGAATTAGCTGGGACAGGAAACCAAGTAGCAGGGGCTGTGACTGATTCTGAGACAGTCTCCCCAGGGCCTGCCTCTAGTTAAAATTTTTGGCTCCTTGGTGATGGGAAATACACGAGGATTACAATTGAGATGAAAAAAAAAGTACAAAATGATGTAAAAATAAACTATTATATATATATA